TTCCTGATGTAAACTATGGTTTTGATACTTAAAAGAAGTGCACAAGGCTGCACTTTTTCTGTATGACATTTATCAATTTAAACTACAAATGTACACATTACTGTATGTGGGTTATTGATTGCAAGAGACTAGACAGGATGCACAAGTATGCTTTTACAGCCAGGTGGTCTGACAACAAATTTCAGTACGTCATTTGCAATACAGTTTTTGTTACAGAATGTATCTATAAAGCATATTGGTAACTGTCAGGATTGGACCTGTTTTGTCATGTGTTTCAGTTCCTGTTTTGCCTTATTTGGTCAAGTTCCTGTCCTCGTTTAGTTTGATTATGTTCCATTGATGTCACCTGTGTTCCCCTGATTGCCCTGTGTTTAAAAGTCCTAGTCTGTTCAGTTTGTGTTTGTCAGGTCTACTCGTTATCTACTCCTTGTGAACGTCATCCCTGTGCTCTGTGTCTCCCTATTTGATGATTAAAGACTCTTGTATTGTGAATTCTCCTCATTCCTCCCAGTGAATTGTGACAGTAACACTTTACAATAAGGTTCCAGTAGTTAATGTTAGTTAATGTATTGAACAAACTATTGTTACTAAATTTATTGAATTTATTGAAACTAAATTGTAACTAACATGAACAAACAATGAACAATGTATTTATTACAGTATTTATTAATATTTGTTAATGTTAGTTAATGAAAATACAGTTGTTCACTGTAAGTTCATGTTAATTCACAGTGCATTAAATTAAAATATTTAGTAAACTAAGGCCTGTTTAGCAATGAATAAAAACTGTTTTTGTGCTTGTCACTGCATGTTTAACTTTATTTTGCTTTCCTATTGCATTATTTTTTTTTCAAACAGCGGGTGAGTAGTTGCTTCATAAAAGTTCATAAAACATTTTTGGTCCTCGAATTTTTCTGCAGGTTAAATTGTTATTCCAGTAGGTTGACAAGAGGTCGTCTTTAAGAGTCGTTGAATCATTTACTGAATCAATTGATTCAAAAACACTGATTCATTCAGGAAAAAAAAAAAAAAACTACTCTGTGTAGAGCACTGATGTATAATAACGACTGAATACCGAAAGTGTTCGAGTGGCTGTATTACTGTTTCCAACTGACAGAGGGCATCATTGACTGACAGCCAAATCTGACAGCAAAACCGACCTAAAACCACCCAATTTTCAGCATATCAGTCACACAGGATTAGTTTTAGGATGCACGTATGAAAAGTAATTGTTACTTAAGATGTTTTCTGCAATGTCTATGGTATTTTAACCATTTATCATTAAAATGGGTGTGTATACTGCACCATGACAACATTGGTAATTAAATATTTTTAACAAAATATAATTTTTTTATTTAATTATGCAGGATATGTCAAACATAAATATATATGTAGTTTATGTATATGGAATCTGAGCAGAAAATGATTTAAATATAAAATAAATGGTAACACTTTACATTAAGGTGTCATTTGTTAACATTAGTTAATGTATTAACTAACATGAACTAACATTTGTTACAGTATTTATTAATATTTGTTAATGTTAGTTAATGAAAATACAGTTGTTCACTGTAAGTTCATGTTAATTCACAGTGCATTAACTAGTTAACAAGCACAACTTTTTAATAAAGCATTAGTAAATGTTGAAATTAACATTAACTAAGATTAATAAATGCTGTAGAAGTATTGTTCATTCTTAGTTCATGTTAACTAAAGTATTTAACTAATGTTAACTAATGAACCTTATTGTAAAGTGTTACCAGTATATTTACTGTATAACGTTAAATGCAAGTGAACTACAGTATGTGAAACATTACAGTACGTATACAGTATTGCAGTAAAATGCACATTGTTGAATTACATGTTCGGTCTATGAAATGCTTGAATTATTGAGGAAACAGTTGTTCTTTCAACATTCAGCTACATCTTTTGACCCAATTTGGCGATTGTATGGTCATGATTGAGAACATGGGCCCCAAAAGTGGCCCTTATTTAATTGGAAACGTGCTTATGTCCGTTTTGCCTCCCTACCCTTCCACCACGCATCCTTACTCTTCTTCTTTCTGACCTTGTTTGTTTCTTTGTTCTTGCATTGTCAGAAAATGTAACAAATTATAAGTTCTGTCTGTATATGCTTTCACATTGAGATGCACCTATGAGCTGTTTTAGAGAACTGGCTGATCATTGGTTGATCTAACACTTTACTTTACTTACACCCCTTCATTAGTGAAATTCAAGATTTACCTATGCAATTCATCAATTCAGGACACATCTACAAAAAAATCTAATAGAAATGTATTGAAAATATGCTTGACAATTTGTCAACATCCATTTTGCATTTGATGACTTATGCAATGAACTAATGCCTAAAATGTGTTAGACTAACAGAACCAGTATAATATATTGATCAACATGACATTAGCAATTGATAATGCAGGAAACAACAGACAATTGTACATAATTGCATGAACATACCAAAGCATTGGCAATTTGTTCAAAATAATGAGAAATTGCTTTTGTGATGTGCATAGGTGACGAGATGATGTGGCGGCTGAACATGCATTTTTGAGAATTTCAATTGCAATCTGAGAAATGTACAAAAGCAACTGAGAAAAACTGAGAAATACATATTAGTATATAAATAATAATAAACTAACAATATTTGAATCTGATGATTTATATTTAATAATTTAGTTAAAAAACACTCATTCTAACATTATTAACACTGAAGATTCATCTTTATTGAAAAAATAAAAAAACGAACTAAAGGAAAAGAAAATACTATTTCAATTGGGAGTTCAATAATGCAGTTTCTCACATACAAGAATAAACAGAAATTTAATTTCTCAATTTTGAAATTGCACATTAAAGTACATCAAGGGGCTGTTATACAGAACCATAAAGTTTCGTTGTGCTCGTGTTACACCTTCTTGCACAGTTGCAGCTTGCACTTTCTGTCAAAACGTCTTGCAATATACTGTCTTCTGTAATAAATTCATCAAGTCACATACCTTACACTCTGGAATAATGACAGCATAAAATACCATACATTGTGCAAAAACATAATTGAATATACTTAAGCACTAGTGTACAAAATATGGTCCAGCTCAAATGAAACCTTCTCAAACCATTTCAAATGAAAATGAGCATTAATAGCTGTAACAGATGGACAGTATATATATCTGCTGCTGTGACCTGGATATGAATTAGTCTGCCATTTTATAGATCACTGTGGCAATGTGCATGGTATCATCTTTGTTGCATGTGTGACGTTTCTGCTTATCTACTGCATGCCAGTAAAAGGAGATGCATAATGTGAGCATACATAGAATTAAAAAAAATCATGAATGCTCATATTAACAAACATACCATTTTAATTGGTTTTAAAAATAAAAATGACAGTCTACCAGCAGCTCATTTCAAACTGAAGCCCCCCAACTGAAATCCTAGAATCCCCCCTGACGACTAATATTTGCAATGTAATATTTTCTATTATTAAAATTTAAATGGTTTGATAAAGAAATCGTGTAGCTTTGAGAGCTAAATCTATCCTGTCTTTCCCTTACAGCAATACTGTCACATTACTTCGGATGCTTGATTATCTGGATAGACACTGCAATTCACTGATGAGGTCAGTGCTTTTGCCAGGGGAAGGTGTTATAAGATCAAGTGAGAGTCTTATCTGTCTGCCCTCACAGCTCCTTTCTGCCACAGGCTAACCTTTACCTTGCTTTCTTTTACCAGGAGATATTTCATTTCATCTCAGCCTTGAGTTATGGATGGCACAGTAGACACAAACGCTGATGGGAGGACAAATGCAACGCGCTTTAAAGAAGGTCTTAAAACCAAACTACAGGTGGAGGCCTTAAATAAATGCTTGAGTAGAAACAACAACATGTAAAAAAAAGTCAATTCAGTATAATGCAGTCACTGAGCATTTCTCAGAAATGGGTCTATTAGGACTGATCTATAAAACTCAGCAGACCACTTGTGTTGTTATACCAGGATTTCGGTTGAAATCAGCAGATGCAGGTCAATTATAATGCAGTTTCTTCTTTGTGGGGCTTTTCTATAAATAATTTTAACTGTCATGGCTTGGTTCTGCAAATCAATACCATCAAGATGCACAATTGTGTGAATTGGGGATCAGAACAAAACAAAAAACATTGGAAACAAAGAAACATCTTCACCAAAGATTCATTGTTAATTTTTCTTTCTTAGCACATTTGGTTGTTAATTCACAGAAATAGTATGTCCCAATTCAAAGGTAGCATACATACAGATAGTGATTGCTGCTCCCAGAAAGCAGCAGATAATTCCATAAGAACAAAAAGAAAAAAAACAAAACAAAACACAGAAGCTCCTTGTGTTGGCCAAGCTTGCTCTCTGTTATCCCGTGCAGGAATCTCCTTGGTCCATCCAGAGAGGCGTGGACGGTCTGTTTGTGCATCTCAGGTGGTGTGCAGTATGAGGTGCTCTGTTCCATTAGCTTATCTTTACTCATATCCGAACCCAAATGAAGGAGTGAACGTGCCGAGGCACAGAAAAACAAAATGCAGATTGCTCCACAAACGGACGGACACATCAAATTCTTCCAATCGATGTCTTGGAGGCAGTGCTTAACTATCAGTTACCTCATGCCTGGATACGATTAGCGTTTAGAAGTTTAGTCCAATTGTAATCCACGTTCCACTGTTTTCAAAGGCAGATGGAGCCATATTCCTTGGCCGGGTAGAGGACAGTGACTGGGACCGTGATAGTACACACAACTGCTGCAGGTGCAAAACACAAGATTGAAGATAGCTTGATTGGAAATGAGTGAAACGAGTGGAAAAACTCCTTTTTTTTGTAATTTTTTTTCTAAACCACCGAGCATTGCATCTTTAAGGATGTGGAGCTGATACGTTACAAAAGAAAGTTTCTTAATCCCATATTCCTTTTTTTGTACTTGGTCACCAGTTTGAATTCATATATTTATATCCATTTATATATATTTATGTATATTTTATACAGTTAAAAACACCATGGAGATGATAGACTATTTGGTTTCTTTTTCTAAGTAGAAGTTTCTCCTTAAATAAATGCATATAAATAAATTATCTTTTCACATGTTCGAGACTGTCACTCTCCCACGCTTCTACTCACAGCAGGTCCTCAGAAATGTAATGGTAGCTTGCAGTGGTATCCCAATTTTGGCAGAGTATTCTGAAGCCCCAAGACACACGGGACATTTGTGGTTAGTCCTGTCAACCGCTTCTCATTGGCCAGTCTTTGTGGCATCTTTGTGCATGTCTCTGGGGCTCACTAACTGAGTCTCCGTGGGCCCAAAAGAGGCCACTCCCCCTTGTCCACCCCCATTTGCTAAAAGGATGCACACAGTCTCTTTGGCCCCCTGAGGGACAGAGCTACTGATGTCCTCCTGTTTCCTCTGGGCATGTGCTAGTGCTCTGAGTTGTTCCTGAGCCTCGTCGAGTAGTGAGGCCACTTCCTCCCGTCTACCAGCCACTCGGTTGGAGACCATTACGCTGGACTGTTGATTGACAGCCGGAGCATCGGCTGTGCTTTCCAGAGGACTAGAACGGCTGCTTCCATCAGTAGGGGCGGTTTGCATACACGAGACCTCATCCTGGTAGGAGTGGACAGAGGGGATGATTGGGATAGAGCAGGGACGGTAAGGAGCAGGAGGACTTTGGCTAGGGCCGCCACACCTGAGGCTCCTAGCGCACCTGTGGTCTAAATGGCTGCTCCAAGATTTTGAGGATTGTGAGGCTTGCATATTGTAAAAGGAATCTTGATGTAGGTAATTGCCAGGGCTGGAAATGTTCCTGTAAAGAAAGAGGAAAAGATGACAGTCTGAAATATAGGGAGATTAAGGAAAAGACAGGGATATATTGAAAATGATTAGAGTGCCAAGAAGGAGGTTTGTTGAATCTCAAAAAGGATTGATACATATTCTGAAAGCCGAATAAAGCTTAAGTGTGTAATTTTTGCGCCTGTAGCATCAACAAAGAAAATTGCAAAAATAATGACTGGTTCAAACAGGTTCCCAAATACTCATATCAACAGCAAAGTCCCTTTTCAAGGAAAATCAGTTCATTTTGCAGCCAAATTGGCAACACCTCCAGGTAGCTATTTCGGGCATTTAAGACCTAGACCTATCTACTTGAATGGGGAAATACTGAACTCTCAAAAACTGCTTGGAAAATTCACATTTAAATATTTCAAATCCAGCAAAAAAATCTGACATGAACTGACCCATGGATTTGGTTTCTCACACTCAAATAGCATTAAAAAGGCATATTTTCAAGTTGATCCAGCCATTGCGCATGAATGAATGAATGAATGAATGATGCATTTATATAGCGCTTTATTGTGTATTGTTGTACACCCAAAGCGCTTTACAATCATGTGGGGGGGGGGTCTCTGCTCAACCACCACCAGTGTGCAGCATCCACTTGGATGATGCGACGGCAGCCACAGGACAACGGCGCCAGTGCGCTCACCACACACCAGCTATAGGTGGAGAGGAGAGAAAGTCATAGAGCCAATCAAGTGGTTGGGGATTATTAGGAGGCCATGATTGACAAAGGCCAGGGGGGCAATCTGGCCAGGACACCGGAGTTACAGCCCTACTCTTTACAAGAAGTGCCATGGTATTTTTAATGACCACAGAGAATCAGGACCTCGGTTTAACGTCTCATCCGAAAGACGGTGCTTTTTGACAGTATAGTGTCCCCATCACTATACTGGGGCGTTAGGACCCACGTAGACTACAGGGTGAGCACCCCCTGCTGGCCTCACTAACACCTCTTCCAACAGCAACCTAGTTTTCCCAGGAGGTCTCCCATCTAGGTACTGACCAAGCTCAACCCTGCTTAGCTTCAGTGGGCAACCAGTCTTCGGCTGCAGGGTGATATGGCTGTGGCATAGTCACCAAGCGTGAGTGTCAGGACGTGATGGCTTTACCAATTGCCGTGTGGCTCTTTCTGCCATATTGTGCATTGCATTTTCTCCCATTTATAGTAATATGACTGAATCGTCTTGGTAGTACAGTGTTCCCATTAGTCAGTCAAACAAAGAGTCCTGCCCCAAACTTGCGCCATTGGTAGAATCAGTGTTGCTAATATTGGGCAGATTGTGATGCTTAAACATACAGATCAGTGTTTTCTTTGCTGTACAGTGTCTGTTGTGTACACTTTTTGTCAACCTACGAATTGCTTACTTATAGATCTCTGCTAGGATACAAGAATGTATTACAACATAAAAAACAAACAAACATGAATTTGATCCTCTCAGCACCGCAGACACTGTGTCTTATAATGTCTTACATAATAAATGACAACATTATATGGCATTCTTAATGAGACATGTAAAACAAAGCAATGATTTTTCTACATGTTGAGGCTATTAAATGATGAGGAAATAAAACAATCAGGTATCTCAGGTTATTAACTGTTCAACATTTATTTGATCTGGCTGGTAGCCCAGTGTCTTCTCTGACACATAATCGTTTAGTTCAGCTGGGCATTAGCTGGTTTCCTGATTCAGAACTTGCTGCTCCCATGGCAGCCATTCTTAAGTTAATCTTCTGACGATTTGCATGCAAAATTCTTTCAAAAAAGATGAAAGCAGAAGTTCCATCCAACCAGACCTTTGGTAAACTAATCTCTCAATTTAGGAGCAATCGGTATCGTTCCCCTGATTCATTATCTTTGTGTAATAATTCATAGTCCCTGACAAAGAATGGCTTTTCTCATAGCATTAATATTTAACCAAGCACTGCTTTTTCTGATAATGACCGAGTCCGAGTTAAGCCTCAATCAAGGGGAGGCAAATTGTCTGATTCTATTTTCTATAAAACAGACAATATGACAGCAATGTCAAGCATTTCAGCAAGATATGGATCATCATTCTTGGAATGTCAAGACTTGGAAACAGTTAAGGATGCATGGATTTAGCCTGGGTTTGTGAGATTTTGCTTCAGATTCAATATAATGTGATCATTTACTGAAATCCTCAATGTCAACAGAAAAGAGAGCTCTTTTGAAGGCGGCTAGAAATTAATGTGATTTTAATGAAACTCCTGCTGTCTCCTGCTGAGCACGTCTCTCCAGTGACCCTCTCTCCACCTCTCCTCTAGTTGCACATGTCTAGACCTTTGACTATATGACGAAAGAGACTGTCATTTAGGTGTGGGTTTCTCTCAAAAATACAACAAAACATACTGAAAAAGTGGGAAAACTGCAGAAATTATGTATTGACTTGATACACGTGTTTAAAATATGTCCATCCAAAACTATTAAGTACAGACGATTTCACTGGCCTGACACAATATATCATTCTGCTCCTGAATAAATATATTCAATGATCTGATGCTAAAAACGTGGCAAATTCTGATCATTTCTTCCTCAAAACAAAAAAACAAAGATCAGATCAGATTAAAGGCTTGCCAGATTGAAAGAGAGTATCCCACAAAAAGACTAGATAATTAAAAGATAATTTCCTTCTATTTTAATTGTTACAGTGTAAACAAGCAGAAAACATCACTTTTGAGGGTTAGTAGGTAACACTAATGAAGGAAGTGATACTGCCGCGCCGCTCTGTGCAAATTATGATTTATAACCTTATTTCCTGCAATGCTGTTATTCTTCATCGTATCATGTAACAATTTCAGATACCTGCATGAAATGTATTAAGCTGAAAAGAAAACAGCTCAAGGGCTGTCATTGTAGTGGAATACATTCGGGGCATGTTTTGAAGTCCTGTATAATGAACAGCCCTCATCTTTGAAAGCGTCATACTGAAAACATTTTAATGAGCAAACACTCACTGTAAGAGAGAAATGCAGCTGATGAGGTCAGACTTTAGAAACCAACTTTGTCCAAGGAAATTGGCTACTGGGAAAATAGCCTTGTGTCGATGATCAGATAGGAGGTACACCACAAACTGGGAATTTAAGTCCTCCGGATAGTTTTATACATAACAGCCGGACTTAATATGAGTAAGCAATTATAAATGTTGTCTATGTACTTGCTTAAGCACTCAGCTCGAGGGAATCCAGACGACCTACAGGGGGGCTGACAGGTACATTCCTATCTAAAAATACTGGGAGCTATAACACCGTGCAAAATCTGTGCCCTCCTAAGCCATTTTAGTGAGATAACAGCACGCTTTCTGGGACGGAAGGAATGAGACAGCCAAGATTTTTTTCTGCTGTCATATGCAAAACAGTTCTATCTCTGTCTCTCTCTTTTTTTCTGTCACTCCTCTCCTGTCTCGCTCCCACTCTCTCCTTCTCTTTCCTGTCCCGTATCCCAGCCTGTCTCTATGGTAACAGAGCTCTCTCCAGCAGAGGAATATTCTTATGCAGGCTGGAAGGCTGGAAATAGGTCAGTGCTGAGAACCTGTTGGAGATTTTAAGGCGAGGTGGAGTCTTCCGCACTACAAAGCTGTCCTGTATAGCAAACGAGGACTAAGTGGGCCAGGACAGCCTATAGTGTGTGAGAGTTGATGGCTGGCCCATTCTAGCAAACTCATCCAGGACTGCCCATTCCATTGATATATCACTGGCTGTTTAATTGGCTATGACAGTGTGGTTTTTATTAGCTGTACTGCTCCTGGAAAAGGCAGCACTCCCCAGTGCCCTCCTGTCTAGTGAGTCATGCCTGCATACAGAACTTCAATAATAGAGCTCAGACAAGCCCGCTTGTTGCTCCTGCAGCCAGCATAGAAACAAATGCATATGCTCGCCACGGAAAACTTGGGAGCATTTATAAAGCAGGCTTTATGGCAAAACTTGGGAGCAATTATAAAACAGGCTTTATGACACATACACAAAACTATTAAAGATATACTCTGGGTAAATGTATATTATCATACTTTAAAAAGCCAACCTTACCAGTGACATACCATTAATCTTAGAACCATGAGATAGGGCCCTGCCCACAAGTGATGACATCATGCAGTAAAGTTTGCATTGGGTGTTGAATTAGTTTTGCAAATTTTTTATTTAATTTATTTTTTAAAGTGTATATCTGACTGTTACAGACCAAGCAGGTCCAAAACTGGTTATAGTGTTGGAGATGTATACGTCATGATCTTAACTAATACTTAATTTAACTTATAATCACTCTGTAAAAATGTGACTATGTTTTTAAAGCGCCCCCTCACATCATTCTTTTTAATTTGTCTTTTTGACATTAGTTTGAAATTAGTTGAAAGCGGGCCGGAACCGGGCCATGAGAGTCAATTGTTGAACTGCTTTGTATTTTCATGATTTCCTAAAAAGAACTAGCTCATAAGAATAATTTGTTTATGAATCAGTCTAAAAACGATTCACTACAAAGAACACGCTAATAATAGTCAGTTGTTTATCAATCACTCTAACAAACTATTCACTAAAAAGAAGCAATTTAAAAGAGTCATTTGTTTGTGAATTTGTATACACTGGTTGAATGCATGTTTGTTTTTGCAGGTCAATAGAAAGACATTTCATGTCATTATTTTTTGATACATAACATTTTAATTGCATCACATTGAACACAGACTGCGCACTCACATTCACAATTCAGATATGAAATATAATTTATTTTACTGTGATGCTGAAGATTTGGAGGTGGTGGTATAGATTCAGCAGCGGGGGAGCGTTGCTGCTGAAAAGTGGTCCAGGCAAACAAGCAAACAATTAAATAAATCTTTATATAATGAACCTGGAGAAAACTTCTTGTCTTGAATTCAGATCTAATGTGCAGTAGGAGAAACAGAAAAAAAATGACAAGTGTAAGAATGGCCACTGCCTTGGGGGTTGTGTGGCAGGAGTGGTTGTTTAAAACTACAGATTGGCACATAAATCAGAGGACAGAGAGAGCAGACAGTGTCACCGACCAGAACTGACTCATGGACACCACAAAAAACAAAAAAAAAAAACTCTTTGCATGCAGTTTCATTGCATTAATGCATTCCATCCCTCAGAGATAACAAACTAGAGTTTAATCCATCAGGTTAATCCATTGGCTAGGACTATGCATGAGCATGAAATAATTAGCATTAAGCTCATTGACCTGTAGCAAATGAATGTTGCTAACTAACCTTCTCATTGACTCCCTCTCTGAGCTGTCTACTTCCTGGAGATGTTGGTAGGCAGGACCAGAATCTCTTGCTCCACCAATGGCATTGAGACATCCTCTGGTTATGGGTGGTGTTCTGCGAGATGCAGGCCGAAAAGCAGAATGACTCCTCTGATCTGGACTATGAGAGAGGGAACCACTCCTGTAAAACAAAATACACATATCACTCCTGGATTTCTTGATTTGTATTTTTGTGTTATTGCTCGGGTCATTTTGATCCCCAAGGAGAAATGATACACATCTGACAAGTGCATGTTTACTGAGGGATAAATAATAATATGCTGTGGGGCTTTGATTAAAAGCAGAATTAAAAACATCAGAAAACAAATGAATAATAATAATATTATTATTATTATTATTATCATATTATATTATTATTATTATTATTATTATTATTATCATTATTAATTATTAATATTTTATTTTTTGAAATTATTTTTATACATTACTGGGGACTTTAAAAAAAACTACAAACAAACAAAACAAAATGAATACATAGATAAATAAATAAGCAAATAAATAATCCAACAATGTTGATATTTTATATACTTTTACAGCTGCCTCTATTCTGATGGTGATAAATATACAGTATATATATATATATATATATATAAGCACACGTGACTCGGAACAAAGCAAAGCCACTATACCGATTTCTCTCAAGATATTTTCTGTCCCATTCCATGGCATTCTTATCTTAGAAATACTTTACACTCTCACTTTCTCTTTGTCTCCATCTTGTGTGCTGAATGTTTTACAAAGCAGGACATGTTTTCATAAAGCTCTCTGAGAAAGGCACTGGGAATAATCAGTATTCAGGAATGCAGTCTTTAGTTTACACACCTGCAGACTTCATTAAAAAATGATTTACTAGATATATTTCCTCTATCATAAAAAAATGGAGCACATTACCAATGAGTCACCTTGTTCCCAATTAGATATTTATGTGATACTGCTGGGCAAACTACAGGGAGATGTTGTACATATACGTTACCACTGAATGGGGCCACATTAACATAGAGATTAATTGACCTATCAGACCGCTGGCAGTAAGGAGCACACATTTGACTATTTGGTAAAAATAGCCTGAAGAGGAATTCATGCTTGATTTTAGATAAGTCTTCTACAGAGCGATAATTCACTGCATATTTAAATCCTTCCTTACCCTGAGTCAAGAGCAATCAGTTAGATTGTGATGACCATTTGACGACACGAGCAGTTGGGGAGGGGTGGGACAGGGGGCAAAAGGCTGTTTGCAAACAAATTACATGTCATCACAGAAAAAATAAAAATACATATATATGATTGCAAGAGTGCACTGAGCCACAAACAAAAACAGAGAGTGGAATCAGGGCTTAATGTTTAGATTGAGGAATGCATGAGGATTAAACAAGTCTGAAAGGCTTTGTGTCTCTGCTATTACAGACCATTCCCACCCCTCCATAAAACCCCCCAACACACCACAACTCTATATTCATATTATCACAGTTTTCTATTTCAAATAAGTGCTGTTTTTAAACTTTCTATTCATCAAAGGAAAAAAAAAAACTAAAAACATTTTCATCATGTATACTAATAAGTAATGTTTATTGAGCACCAAATCAGCATATTATAATTATTTATGAATGATCATGTGACACTGAAGACTGGAGTAATGGCTGCTGAAAATTCAGCTTTGCCATCATGGTAATTAATTACATTTTAAAAGTCAAATAAAAAACAGTTATTTTAAACTGTAATCATTTTTCTCAATATTACCGTTTTTATTGTATTTTTGGTCAAATAAATGCAGCCTTAGTGAGCAAAATCAAAACATGAAGCTGCCATATTGTATTGCACCAGAAAACTGATTATAACAAGGACTGGACTGGTAAATTACATGTCGTCCCAGTGAAATTTATCTCCATATACTGCTACTCTGCCATTTATGTTGTCACTATTACAGAAGTGCATATTAATGTATGTATTGCCATTTAGAACTATTATAATTTTCTTACTATTCAGTAATTGTACCATAGTCACTGGGTGCACTGTAATGGATGCAAATTTAATTTCTCTCTTCAGAGCTTTTTGACAGAGGAATGTTGATTTCATACTGTATCGTTACCATAATCATTGTTAACATTTCTTTCAATGCCATTAAATTAGCATGGAAAAAGTTCTTTGTAGAAGGATAAAAAGATGCTTTTTTTATGATGATTCATACCTGGGGTGTTTTCCTGTCAATGTGCCCTGTGGATTGGTAGCAGCAGCAGTGCTCTGAACGAAATTAGACTCTCGAACATGTGGTGGTGAGGACCTTGTGGGTTTATAATACTGCAAAAGACACAAAAAGAAGACAAATGTTAAACATTCTACATTGTTGTCTATGGGCAATGCTATGCTCTGTCATCTAAACATGTAATTAAAACATTTTCAGTGCCAGTTGGATAATGCATCCAGCATGCAAGAGCAGCTCAGGCTTCTGCTTAACTCTTCGCTTTGATTCTTGTCTTTGACAAAGAGTCAGTGGCCGGGGTTCCACTGATACTCAGATAAACCAACAGACCACTATGGAACCTGCAGACAAATCCAATTTAAATTTCACACCTTGAAAGTCTTCCTCATAAAAACCCATTTCTGCTTCGGGCAGAATGCACACAATGATCTAAATGTCAGAGAGATACTTAATCTCCTCCACTATCCCACCTTTACTCCACAGTGTCGAGTGGAAGAGAAGAGAGAGAGGGGGAGTGTACAGGAGGAGAAGAACTGATGGCTGATGGGGGATCAGAGAAGGGCACTAGAGTCACTCTAATTGGATAATATAGCACTTTCAGGACTATGTAAATCCAAGCAATGTCCCAATATCTTCCTCTAATGGAACTTGTGTGGGAACAATATGTGCAGTGCAGAAGAAACTATGTTTTTTTTTCCTTTTACTTTCCTCTTTTACATTTGGCAGATGCTTTTTTTCCCAAAGCAACTTACATTGCACTCAAAGTATACATTTCAACAGTTTATGCATTCCTTGGGAATCCAATTCATGTCTTTTTCATTGCTAGCACCATGCTGTTTGAGCTACAGGGAAGACTGAAACTTTATTGTAATTACTTAAAAATATGCAGTGTATGTGCATAATTTAGCAACTCATTATGTTCTGCTCTGCAAATTATGACTGGGAGCATCTTTACAGATTTGAATGCATCATGTAACATCCCAGCCTACAGGACTTTATTCAGTTGTGATATAACAGTAGCTTGGAGGAAGCCTCTTGTGTCTGTGAAATTGACAGACTGCTGACACTGCCGAATATTGACACTGCTTTGACAAAGAAATGACATTTGCAGTAAGCTTGCCTTTTTTTTTCAAACCTGGGCTGAAGTAAGATGACAATACATATGTGACATGTAACCCACGCGAAATTGAGTCATATGTTTAAAATCACTTACATAAACCCTAGTCTTTTAACTCAAAACAAAAACTAGTGCATGATTACTTGAGACTTTTATATATGGTTGACGCACTCTGAGCATTTAACCAGTTATGTAATGCAATGCTGTTATGTTTTGTTATTATGTTATGGCCATCTCTTGCTCTATTCTAATAATTGCATAGCTGTATGATTTAGCGACTTGTAAAGACAGTAAATTCACTATTGAAAATATCAGGTGAGTGGGAAGGAGCTAGAGAGTATAAGATTTATACAGAAGAAGAGAGGGAGCAAGAGAGAGAGAGTAGAAATAAAACAGTGGGAGGAAGTGTTGGTAAGGCAATCTGACTAATAACAGGTTTATGTGAATTCAGAGAGAAAATAAAAGCCGAATATTCAAAAAAGGTATAGAATATGGTTTGCTAAAATTGTCATTTTATATTTTGTAGTCCATGTTGTGCAATATGAAATCAACCGTTAGTTCACTTTGTTTTTGCTCAAACCCAAACATATTCTGGCATTAGTATGATGGCCATACTGCTTCACAAAAGCAAAGTTATGTCTAAGAGCAAAAGTCTTAAAATTCATTTCCCTCAAAAGGTTTAAAAAAGCTGTCTGATTCATTCAAAGATAGAAATAGTCATTTCTGAATTTAAGGTCAACCCTTTATCACATAGGTAACTAGTATTAGAAAAGCTAGAAGCCTATCATTACTGAAGCGGTCAATTTCTTTTCCCTTAGAGATGCAATTTGCCCGCACTCAAAAGAACCTGTTCAGGCAATCAAAAGTGACTTCATCCAAAATATTTTGAAAGCACGTCTTTCTGATCTTTGAAGATGCATTTTCTTTCTTTTTCGAAGCACAGCCACCTACATTTCCAGAAAATGCTTTTAAACAAACAGGCTTGAATAGACTACTTAGCTGTTAAATTAATCGGGTGAATTCAGCCAAAATGCTCTAAAGCTTAGAGAAAAAATACTACAAATTTTATAAATAGTCCGAATTCGAATTTTTTAAATCTGATTAAGACTAATGTGCAGGTTTCAAGCAGGTTCAACTGTATTATGAAATATGTTGATGTTTTATCAAGGGTAATTCACAAAAAGTGCTCATAATCTTAGACCGTACAAGCAACAAACTGCTTAGAATGTTTGGAAAAGGAGGTCAGCAAACTGATATTGAAATATTATTGTCAATGCATCTGAGGAGGAATATGCAGCTAGTGGGCAGAACATGTGATGTGTACACATCGTGAAATGTTGATAAGAAAGGTAATGAGCATATTGGACAAAAGGGTACTATACAAAAGAGCTAAAAATGGAAACTTATAAAAGAGTAATCTACAAAATGTATTTCAAAATAGCACTGCAGAGACCACCTCAGACATCATAATGGCACATATGAAAGCCGTTCCTCACAGCGTGACTGTTACAGCCAACAGGGGCAAATACTGTATATGGGACGTATGGCCAATAATGAGCTCATTGGGTGTTCAAAGCTTTTTGATGGACCTGCTTTGAACAGAGTTGCATAAGGCTGAATACACGCTGGTTAGTGATGGATGTTTTAATTTAGCCATAATGACATGCAAGACCGTCACCCACTGTAGCTTGAGTGTGTGTGTGATCTGCATGATCTGTCCAATGCTACTGTAGATGGCAACTGATTAAATGTCATGCCAGTGAAGAGTTTCTGTGGTAAATGTGTTACATGAGTTCAGAGAGCTGTGAATTGTTCTTCCTGCTCAACCTCATGTCAGCCGCAAGTCAACAAATATTTCACACCTATAGTAAAAAACTTTGTGGTATGCAGGGGCAAAGCAAACAACAAAAATTCACATTTACCTGGCACACGCTAGCCTAAAATATCATTCTAGACAAGGCAAGCTGTGTGTTACCTGTGTATTAATAAATGTTTGTTTATATGCCCATGGGCTGAACTTTCAGCGAACGGTGCACCAGAAAGAGTGAGGTGCTTATGAAATATATATATAGAGGGTAAGGTTAGGACAGAATTTGAGATGAGATGGAAACATATCTTACATCAGTAATCTTCTGAGTTTTACAGATATTTCTACCAGAGGTTTCTCTAATGCAGATAGGCAAAAGTCACTCCATCCTATATTTATTGCAGATCATATCATTACTGAAAGAAAAAGACGTTGTCATGGAAAAACAAACTAACATCATGTGTCAAAAGCTGGTCTATCCTTGTCAGTGGACTAGTTTTGATTGCTTTGGCTGGCATTTGCATGTCTTTTGACAGTGTGCCATTGCTGTAGCCATTAAACATCTCACTGGGTTTAAATGACATTTGAATTACCACTGTGTTTTCAATGTAAATAGCCTGTATCAGCTTATCTGTAATGGATCTGATAGTTGGAGTGATTGAGAAAGTGATGACACAGGTAAGGTAGCAAACTGTCTTCATTCTCTAGGACACTGGACTGGCGCAAAGTTTCTGAGCTAGAAAGACTCAAGAGAATGATGCAGTAATCACAAACCCTCAGTGATGGACTAGTGTGACTACCATTATTAGTGTGTCTGTCCTCAGAGACTTGCACACCCTGAATAGCTGTGACAGAGCCTCGTTACAATGAGCTGAGCGGTGTAAAGGGTCAGCTGTTCTTGCTTCTAATTGCTGATGAGCAGAAAAGCCAGAGATGTGGATTTGAATCCCTTTTAACGTGAATTTTCAGCGATCACATCATAATCAGATCGCACTTGATTGCATTAATGTCAGACTCTGTTCCATGTTTTGTCTGTGTCTTGCTCCCCAGGTGTTCCTTTCCCATGTTTAATTTGTCCCAGGTGTTCCCCATGATGGTTCATTGATCCCAGGTGTGTCTCGTCATCCCCTCCTCCTGTGTGTATTTAAAGTGTTCCCAGTCCCTAGTTCTCTGTCCGCGTGTGAACGTCTTCCTGTGTTCGTCTCCCTTGGTTCCTTGGTGCAAATAAAGTCTTGGTAAAGTATTCTCCAGCGTCTCCTCGTTCCTCGTGTGTGTGCATCGTGACAATTAATGACTCCATGAGATCAAATCTGGAGTTTTGTGGCTCATAGTCCAGTTGTTCTCAACCTTTTATAATATTTGACTTCTAATATTCAAAGGCCCTCACATCTAAACTGATATGTACCTAAATTTAAACAAACTCAAAAATATGATGTCAGTTTAATGTTGTATATCACATTTTAATTTTTTTATTTTTCGTCAGCATTTTAATTATGATTATATTAATATAACTAAACTTAATTTTAAGAAATTCTTGGGGCCCCTTAGTGGGCCCGACCCCCTGGTTCAGAACCACTGTTTTAGTCAATGCATTTTAGCTTTCAAGCCATCTGTATGCTATCATACTTCTAATAGTTAACAAAATAAATATATAAATGCAGTAAACATATAGTATAGTCTCTTTTTGTGAAATTGGAACGAAAATACTTATGATGACCCATCATGCAAACTTATGATTAATCAAATGCTGCCCTGAATGCGAATGCTCTTCACCCTTATACTGCCTGCCAATAGCAAGCAGTAAATCATGGTTTACGGTGTCATGAACCCATTGAGTCTAACTGATATAATATGTGTAAAACATGTTTAAAACCTTATAATTTAATATTTGTACAGGTTATAGGCTAAGCTAGCCAACAAATTGGCTAGCATGTTGAACAGTTAGCTTGAAAAACATAGCTAACTACTACTACTACTACTACTAATAATAATAATGAACAAGTGTATAATTTCAAGTTTAGGTTATATGCAACAATTTAAAAAAAACAAAAAACATAAATAGCCATAATAACAGTTCAGACGGCGCACATCATAAAGTGATTTTGAAGGATTTGTAAGCAGACACTGAATAAATTACCTCTTAAAGTTTATCTCAGGCAATGGAGCCTGTTTAGGGTCTTATTTGTTTGTCAAACCTAATTGTTCATGACAACAGCTGTGACGTAAAGTAATGTCTTTTGAGAATTTTCTTTAAAAAGAAAATCATTTTGATATGTCCAAGGATTTCTGTTTCAATAGGCAATGTGTCAAAACAGGACACTTCGTTTTCAAAGAAAAAAAAGAAAAGAAATGTCATAGGGTCTATTAAAAGTCTGATCACAATAGAAGAGACAGACTAGAAGGCAAGATATAAATGCAATCCAGTTCAAGAATATACCATCCGGATACAAATCATACATTACTGCAAGGTATAAAAGGCGCCAGAAGTGCTTACTTTCTGGAGCTGCAGGCCTTGCTGAGGCCTAAGGCTGGGTTTAGGGGCCAGGCTGCATGAGGTGAGGTTGTAGTTTTTCTGGCTACGGCTCTCTTTCAAGTGTGCATGGAGCTTTTCTCTTCTTCTCCTGTAGGAGGCAGCATCATTAGATAAGAATCCAAAATACCATGGGCTATGAGGATATTTATTTACATAAACACACACAAGCAGACTCATTCACATGCAAACACATCACCCATCATCTGTGAGAATATGTTCTGGCAGTTAAGACAGCCCATAGTTATTTTTCTGGGAGATAAAATAATAACTGGTGCACTTAAATGTCACTACATCATTGTTTCTTCTGTCGGTTCACTCACTCATTGTATCATGTGTTATATTTAAATTGCTGGGCTGTTCTGCACACACCCCTTCTTGCTTCAGGAGCTCTGGCTTGCAGTCAGTTGCTCTTACTGATGTTTCACTCAACTCATGGGTGAAATATGGATACATACTCAACCGCATGGATCAGATCCATCAAAATTTCAGTGTAATGTGACTATTATTACCCTTTTCCTTCTTATGCCTACAACATGCAGCATTTTAAAGGATTTTATACGCTCTCTAGGCTATTACAAAGGCAGGAGTTTTAATTATTCTACTTCCTAAGATACTCTCCTAACCCTAGTTTTGTTTTTAAAACTTACTTTAATCACTGGGCACTCAGGTAAAAGAGTAACTAATTATAACTAAAACTTAAATAATAAAATATAGTTTTCCAGACATGTGAGAAGTTTTTATGTTCTTCAGGGTTTCCACTTGTTTTAGGCACTCCTTTTTATTTTAATTTTTTTTACCTGCTAAAATATTTTTCAACTTGGCATTACTAGTAAAATGTCTAGAAATCACACTTTTAAAATTAGGTGTCCTTGTATATTCAAGACGGGGGATGAAAACATGTTACTCAAATGAAATTTAAGTAAATTAAAAATAAGTAGGCAGTGTGGCAGCTCACTAGAACGAAGTTACTGTGTCTTTTAACAATTGCATTTTTAAATACAGCTCTGAGGGGTTAAAAAGGGGGAAAACAGTCATCTTGAGCCTATAATGACTGTGAATATATTTCTCAATTAAATAGTTGCAACGAGCCTGTAACAGCTGAATAGCAAAAGCACCAGCAGCAGCACATATTCGAAGCATGCCATGAGTCAAAAATGTTTTAATTCATTTCTGTTGGAACGGTGGCCAGTAGAGCTGTGGGTGCTTTTATGAGAAAGTAATTACGTCCCCACCTCCAGTCATTATGTTTCTATAGCA